TTCATACAGTTAGAGTTCAGTACAAAATACTTACTTATGAACGCTGACAAAGCAGAGTTCTCAAGAAAAGGTGCTAAATAACGCGAAGCGGCCGCAAGTGCATGCGCAAAGAATCGGTTCACGCGGACGAATCACCCATCAATCATCGGCATTCGGCATTAATCCCGAAACAGCGCGAAAATTTGAATTACCGCGTTCGTTGCCGCGGAATGTTCGCTTTGCTTTTTCCGACCTCGCGCTTCATTTTGTTAAGCGAAGCAAGTGCGTAGCTTCGCGGACCCCTAGTATATTTGCTCTCCATCTTTCTATGATAAGTATGACTTGCTGCAGAGGTGGGCTCTCAGGATAGCGTGGCGTATATCCCCAATTAAGACATCAACTTTGAGAGCTTTTTTCAGTTTTGGAGTTTGTTGTAGAGGAAACCCGTAAAGCCATCGTGTTACTTGCAAAATTTTACGTAGGAGTCTGTACTTAAATCGCCAACTCCTGACACATGCAAGAACTCCAGTGTTCTCCGATGTAATCCTCCTGTTGTGCGCTAAAATCATTTTAATTTTGCGTTCAGCATGATCAGACTAGTGCCTGGATCATCTATTTTTTGAAAGTAAATGACCATGTGGATGGGCCAGAGTCTAGAAATGAAAATGGCAAATCCATATGTTGAAAGAAATGGTTGAGGAGAGGTCTGGCATTACTGAGCATTCTTCGGCGTAGGTACACATTGAGGCGGACCTGTCACATTGGGGCCCCAGAAGATAACCTATAGGTCATCACAGACCTCAATAAGTTTCGCAGATTTAACAAGGATGCAGCCAGCTAGTGTTGCACTCAGTAAGGTATCAAACCACTTATGGTTCATCCTATGTAAGTGAAAGTTTGGTCATCTTAGCATTTTTTGATAAAAATATTTCATCAGATCGTAACAGAGTCCTTGTTCACAACATGAAACACTATGTAGGGTTACCTAATCCGCCTGTCCGCCAGAACGTACAATTTAACTGATGTTTAGGGCAACATTTGAAGACAATTTTCATGATCTCTTACAAGTCGCAGCCAAAGTCAATGAAACCATACAATAATAAAAAAAAAAAGTCTGACAAACAATTTGAGGCTTTAAACTTTAAAGTAAGCTGTTAAATATTTGATTTAGTTAACTTTGAGTTAGTTTCTTTGTTGAATTTGATTTTCCCGCATGTATCCAATATTTTACTAAGAAAATGTGTCATTTTGATGTTTTCATACATACAGGGTTATCCAAAAGTCACTGACCACCCCTGTAACTTTTTTCCTAATTGAGATAGAAGTTTGAAACTTTGGCAATGTTCCTCAGTCTGAAGTAGCAACTTTTCGGTCTCTCCAGAATTTTGGAGGGCGGGGGCTAACTTTTTTTGTTCAAACGGCAACCCCCCCTTTGTGATACCTCATTCCAAAGATAATAAAAAAGAAAATTTTTGGTGCAAACCGCAGGTCAAAATGTTGAGTTTTGACAACGGTCAAAGTTCAAAATGGCGGAAATCTGTCATCTCCGTTGTGTATTGATGGACTGGCGTTAAACTCGGAACCCTAGGGTATTTCGAGACGAGAAAAACGATTCTGGCATTGGTTTTCCAGAAAAGTCAGTCTTTTTCAAAATGGCGGCCTAGAGCGGGAAGTGGATATTTAGGCTGCTTATCGTTGGATTTGTATGAAACTTTGTATCCGGAGGTATTTTGGCACGAAAAGAACGAATCTTTCATTGAATATCTGAAATTCCGACAAATTTCAAAATGGCGGCGAAAAAATGGCGGGAAATCAGTTTTACAGCTGTTAACCGATGGATTTGCATGAAATTCGATATCGAGTAATCAGTAATTTAAGAATCTAATGAAAGATTCCTTTTTATCGAGCCAAAAACCACCAGGATATCGAATTTCTTGCAAATCCATCAGTAACCAGCCGTAAAACTGATTTCTCGCCATTTTTCCGCCGCCATTATAAAGTTGGAATTTCAGATATCCAATGAAAGATTCGTACTTCTCGTGCCGAAATACCTCCGGATACAAAGTTTCATACAAATCCAACGATAAGCAGCCTAAATATCCACTTCCCGCTCTAGGCCGCCATTTTGACCGCCGCCATTTTGAAAAAGACTGACTTTTCTGGAAAACCAATGCCAGAATCGATTTTCTCGTCTCGAAATACCGTAGGATTTCGAGTTTAACGCCAATCCATCAATAAACAACGGAGATGACAGATTTCCGCCATTTTGAACTTTGACCGGCCGCCATTTTATCAAAACTCAACATTTTGACCTGCGGTTTGCGCTAAAAATTTTCTTTCTTACTATCTTTCGAATGAGGTATCACAAAGGGGGGGGGGGTTGCCGTTTGAAAAAAAAAGTTTGCCCCCCCCCTCCCCCTAGGGGGGCCGCCCCCCCAAAATTCTGGGGGGACCGAAAAGTTGCTACTTCAGACTGAGGAACATTGCCAAAGTTTCAAACTTCTATCTCAATTAGGAAAAAAGTTACAGGGGTGGTCAGTGACTTTTGGATAACCCTGTATACATTCCAACTATTTTCTAACGTTATAGTGGATCCAAGTCAACTCAAAATGATGTGTTGCAGACGGGAACTTTCGGGCCCGCGTAAGCTTGGTGCGTGCGTACGGCATGTAGCGGAAGCAGTGCAGAGGACGCTTGCGCGTTGCACTAAAGCGTGCCCGTTTTGCTTCCTGTGTCTCTCGTCACGCGCGCCATTCTCGGGTATTTTGCGGCATTTGTATCGCAGATACGACCGAATGGACGAAATTTTCGCTCTCAGGCGCCGTGATGTGACGTTTTCCCGAGGGAAACGGTGTTATTTTACCTAAAATCCTCCAATTTCAATCTGTGTCACTCAAGTCGTTTGAGCACTGGGAATAAATTGTTTCTAATTTTTTTCCTTGTACTAGGCTTCTAATCTATCCATACATCAACTTTTAAGACCAGGACCTTCTTTGAATTCGAAAATTTAACAAATCAGAAACACCCTACCCCTCCCTTTTCCTAAGACCATCCTCTTTCCAATCGTGTTGCTTGGGGAACAAAGGAAGTGAAGGAAGGAGGTTTGCGGGTGCCCTCCTCCACATAGGTCGTTGATGGCAAAGATGACAACCTTGTTTCCTACATGCTATATAGAGTGCAACGGAAGTGACGGAATGTTGCTAATCCTTCGAGTTGTAGATATTCTGCAAGACAATTTGCGATCATTGGCTTAAAGCTAAAATAATCTTACAAGCGATTACTAAGTTTTGGAAGGATATGAGCACATCTCAATGATATTTTAAAAAGGAAAGCTCTAAGCAGCCCGGTAAGCATCCAAAACACTGTGGCATGCAACGTTTAAAATTGAAAAATAAGTGCTAGGCGACTATCTTGGAAACTCGTGGTTAAAACAAGAGGACGCATTACAGATACACTTGGGTCCTGATTGAATTTTGGTCTTGGCATTTCAAATTCCATTCCCACCAAAGTCCATGCTGGCAGCCCAAAATACACCACCGTGGTAATTTTTGGACATTAGCAGCAATTCCTCTGTACTGTGCTGATATTATTCGAAATTCTTCTTCCTGTTTGAAACTGCACACAGGGTGTTCCAAAAGTCCTCCCTCCCCTCTAACTTTTGAAAGATTACAGATGGAAAAACGAAACTTTCGGAATATTTCTATCTCAAAGAGGACTATTTTTTAGGATGGTCAGGGGGGGCGGGGGGCCCCCTTTGTTTTTCAAAAAGGAACCCCTATCTTGTGATACATTATTGGAAAGTACATTGAAAACTACGAATTTTGGGGCAAACCGCAGATCAATATCTTGATCTTTGGCCGAGTTATGATGGGTCAAAGGTCAAATTTGACGTATTCTCAAAACATCATAACTCCTGTTCAAATTATTGTAAAGAAAAAATAAAACGGAAAAATTCTCCAAATTTAAAGCAATTTTAAGTGAAAATCGCAGAAATCACCTCAAACTAATTTTAAAGGGGTGGGGGGTTCGGGCCCCCAAATACTCCAGTTCGTAGGTCATACAATTTTCCCGCGAAATGAGCCAATTTCTCCTAACTTTGCCTCAACATTATCTCAGTAAGTTCAAAATCACTTCAACAATACGTTTTCAAGTCCCCAAATTTCGGCAAAAGTTAAAGAAAAAACGGTCAAACTTAATTGCCTTAATTTTCGTTTTTTTTAAACTTTTGCTGAAATTTAGGGACTTAGAAACGTAATGTTGAAGTGATTTTGAACTTACTAAGATAATGTTGAGGCAAAGTTACGAGAAATTGGCTCATTTCGCGGGAAAATCGTATGACCTTTGACCTGAAGTATTTGGGGGTCCGAACCCCCCCCCCCTTTCAAATTAGTTTGAGGTGATTTCTGCGATTTTGACTTAAAAGTGCTTAAAATTTGGTGAAAACTCCCGTTTCATTTTATCTTTACAATGATTTGAACCAGAGTTATGATGTTTTGAAAATAGGTCAAATTTGACCTTTGACCTATCATAACTCGGTCAAAGATTAAGATATTGATCCTGCGGTTTGCGCCAAAATTCTTAGTTTTCAATGTACCTACTTTCCAATAATGTATCACAAGATAGGGGTTATCTCCGAGAGTTCAAAAGTTAGAGGGTAGGGGGAGAGCGAGACTTTTGGAACCTTCTGTATAGGTGAAATCAGTAGGTAGGAACCAAATTATAGAAGTTGGGATTGAATAAGACAAATTAAAAGTGTATTCTTCCCCAAGTCTTAATCTTTAAAACGAAGTCTTACCTTCTTTTTACATCCAGAAATTGTTTCTCAACTTGGAATTTCTGTCAGGACAGAGTGTACCTCTTGTTAAACTCAAAACTTCTCAAAACCTTTTTTTCTCCAATTTAGCTTGGTTCCTGTCTGTTGTATTGGATCCACTTATAAATCGTATGCACCCAGCAGATAGAGATATTTGCATCACCAGGCATAAAATGTATGAGTATTTTGCATTTAATTGTTTCCCTAGGTAACACAGAAGTCTATGTGGGGTCGAGATGATGAAAATGCCAACCAACGTTGTATGAATTTTGCAACCGCAGCTGCAGCTGGTGCTTCCAATTGTTCTGCTCCAGGCCAAAGTTCCATTGGGCCTGCACCTAGATTTTTAGACGCTACTCCACCACAGGTAAGACACTCAGGCATTCGGAAGTATTGAAGGAAGTTTGCTAGCTAAGGGGTGCAGAAAATGCTGAAGCATTTTTGCTCGATGTGTATGTACATTTGACATGTTTGCATACCGTGAGGCTGATTTTTGCTTCCAAAAATTTTCTACACCCCAGTGCCAGTATTCAAGAATACTACAGAAATAACGAGGATACTAATGCAAGGACAGTGGGTGTCCTCGGTGAGGTCCTCTTCTCTCCTGAGAATGGGACTGGTTTTTAAAAATGAACCAGAACAAAGATAGCCTGGTTATGAACAATAAAAATAAACACTGTAGCTAAAGAATTTTGAAAAATTTACTTTTACTTTGCGCATACTGAACATTAAGATTAAATTTTTACCATCTTAGAGGTTTTTATGGATTCTTTAAATTCAAATCAATTTCAATATTTGTTCATTGCTATACATTAGCCATGGCAAGTTAGGCTAGGCCTAGGTCACAATGGGTATAATGAAGATTAAAAAGAACAGTTTGTTAACAGACAAGTTGGGATGTCATCTTAAGTTTTATCAAATTATCTTAGGCATTAACAATTATCTCAGGTTTTAACAAAGTATCTCAGGTTTTGACAACTTAACAAAATATCTTTATCTACAAGATTAAATGTGTGGAGCAATAGGATCGTCGCTAAATTCCTTTGAAGAGTATCGGGGACACTTCATAAGAGCCTTTTTCAGGGTGTGGCAGAATTTTCTGGGTCCGTCATTTTTTAAGATAAGCGAAAGAGGCTCAGGGAGTTGGTTTAACAGGCTGAGGGATACGCTCCGTAGAGCTAACTTTGCTTTTTTTATAGTGATCTTATCTGTTCGGTGAAAATTGTGCCTAGTGCTGTATCTGGGTCAATTCAAATAAGGGTCTAATTCCAGGTTCTATTTCCTCCCAAAATTTTTTTCTGAATTTTTGGGCAAACCAAACTTTATTTTGACTATCATTAGGTGTAGACTTAGGAAATATAGCTCGTCGAGCTTAATAGTTGGGCTTAAACCCGAATTTCCACCGTCAAGTGTATCTTTTCCCAAAATGTGCCGTAATTTTGCCTGATTTCCTAAATTTTCATCTCAGAGGTGACATGTAATACTTTAAATTAAAAATTGAACACAATTGTCATAAAGGCATCGTCAAGCACTAAATTAAAGCCTAAATGAAAACATGTAACCCTTTCATATCTCGCAGAACCAAAAAAATTAAGAAAAAATTCATCCATCATGAAAGATATCTGGAGCTTATTCTGCTTGTCTTTTAGACAGTTCCGTCTGTTTATAAAAATGCGCACTGTTTTCGTTTCACACGAGAAGAAGCTTTTATTTCTTGGAATATTGCAATACAAAACGGATTAAAAACACCGAATTTTAAAACTTCGAGTGGGCATGTACCTGCTGAAGTGGTGATAAAGCCAGGAAAAGTTTGAGGACTTACATTAACATAACAATTATACTGTTCAACTTTTTTTTAGTGTATTTTCCGCAGGAAATACACTATTGCGTTCTCCCCTGATGTCAGACCTGGACCAAAGACCATGTAATGAGCATCGATCATGGGTCGTAGATTACGAATATGCATGCCGTTCTAATTCATGTTTTTATAGATATCTGTTTATTTATGTATGTATTTCCGACTCATCGTGGTTTTTCCGATTTTTGCTGGGTTATATTTCCCTTATTTTAAAAAATTTCCGGGTGAAACTCTTTGCGATGTAAAGTAGAGGAACAGGACTACCATTCTGCGAAAAAAAAAACGGAGATCGAAGTATTACATTTCGAATGGTAGGGGCGAAAAGTGGGGGGAGGTTCAATTTTGTGGGCGCAATAACTCGCGCAAATTAAAAGCTTTCCCCCCGAAATTTTTACAGAAGGAAGATCTTACTTAGTTCTAGGCTGGTATTGAATTTGAATGAAATCGGTAAAGCCGTTTATAAATGGCGAGCTTTGAAAGTTTTAAGCGGGGGGGTGTGCGGCAAAAGAGGAGGGAAGCCGCACAGTGGGTCACGACCTGAAAATTGGTGGACAAGACGCCAATGTTGTCGCACAGTGGGTCACGAACTGATAATTGGTGGACACGATGGCTATATAGTCGCACAGTGGGTTACAGACTGATAATTGGTGGACAAGACGGCAATGTTGTCGCACAGTGGGTCATGGAGATTCATCCATCGTCATTCAAGCTTGCCACAGCGTTTGTTGACATTTTTTCATATCAGATATTACATGAGGATTGTTGTTGCAATCGAGCGACATGAAGTCCTTATTCGAATAATCAATGCCTCCAACGGTGTAAACGTGAATCCAACCTCCAAAGATTGATAACTCCCCGCCTCCGCCCTTCCCTTCGGAAAATACACTCTTCCCGCGGTGGACGCGCGGGTCACTTAAAAGACGGAACAACTGAGGCCGGACACTCAAACTAAAAAACGCGCGCGTCCTGGGGGGGTCTTTGGGGTCCCCCCCCCCCAAAAAAAAACCGGCGCTCCGCTTCGCTCCGCGCCGGTTCTTTATTTTATTTTATTTTCCGAAGATTTGCCAATAGTTTCGGAGTAGACTTTCGGCGCTGATCCTAAAGAACACCTCCATTTACCTCCATTGCATCAGCGCGATTTATCCTGGGAAAGTTCGGAATTTTTCCGGAGAAATCGGAATTTTCCTTAAAAATCTAGCTTTTCCAGAAGAGTCAATTTTCCGGGAGAATCTGTGCACGATGGAAAAAACCCAGGAATTTTTCGATTTCGTAGCCTAAGATACATAAGAAACCCTATTGCACCCCTATTAAAATTTCCTTTCTTTTCCTAATACCAAGGTTTTCCGGTCCAGTTTCATTAAAATCAATTAATTAGTCACCGAGATAGTGTTTTAAGCCACGGCCACCATCTTAGATTTTCGAATCTCGAAAATTTGACTAAAATTCGAGTTCCTTATTCAAAAATACCCGCGGGTACCAAGTTTCGCGTCAATCGATTGATTAGGCTCTGAGATAGCATTTTAGGCCATGTCCGCCATCTTGGATTTTTGAATTTTGAAAATTCGACTAAAAGTCGAAAGTTCGAGTTCCCCATTGAAAAATACCTCCGTGTACCAAGTTTCACTTAAATCGGTCGAAAAGAGCGCCGACAGGGCTTAAACAAACAAGTCTCAGTTGATTAGGCGCTGCGATAGCATTTTAGGTCATGTCCGCCATCTTGGATTTTCGAATTTTCAGAATTCGACTAAAAATTCGAGTTCCCCATTGAAAAATACTCCCGGGTATCAAGTTTCACTTAAATTGGTAGAAAAGAGCGTCTACAGGGCTTAAACAAGCAAGTCTCAGTTGTAACAGTTTTCCACTCTGTCCCATTAAACTGGGACACTGGGACAGGATGGAAACATATGGGACAGGATGGAACGGGACAGGATGGAATAAGCTGTTTTTTACGCTTATCTCTAACAATAAAGACAATTTTGTTGTTTTTTTTCACGGAATATTTAGTAGCACATCCTAGAGTATCGGAATAAGAGAAAATTTTCCCTAACGCACACTTTGAAAGTATTTTACGAGCTGATATTAGTGTGTGTGTGTATGCTTGACGCCCTGTTAGTTATCTTGTATAGCATTTGTGTGGCATCGTTAATGGCGTTAATCTTGCACAAAAATTTGCGAATTCCAGAATTTTTGCCATCTGCAACGTGTGAACTATTCAATCGAAACAAAAAAAGTTGTTTTTGGAAAAACTTCAACGTTACGGCAATCATTAAGAGCTTATTACATCGTTGCCATGTCTCTCCTGACAGTTGCTGACTGTTGCTCGGGACAATGATTCTAGCAAGTGAAAAAGTTAATGATGGAGCAAAAAAGAAATTGACATATTTTTTCTCTCAAATTCAAAAGCATTACCTATCATCTCCGATAAAGTTTTCTTATATACTCACTCTAGTTATGCTGCAACATCGATTTAAAGTCAAGAACCAGGCACGGGGGACACGTAAATTTGGGACAAATGTAGGCAATTTGCACATTCAAAGTGCTCCTAAATTTTTATTTCAGTCCAAATAAAGTGGGATTTAGCATGTAATAGTCAACAATAGTGTGGAAAATGAGAAAAAAATTTGATCTGCCCATGTTTCTCAGATTATGACGATTAAAACAGCTCGGGACACCAAATTAGACGCTTATTTGAACTCATCCATCTATGTGTTGGGTCCATACCCTCTTGGCTCAAGTATTCAAGTTTTAAGGCCGTTTTTATTACTTCATAAGCATATGCGTTAGTTACAGCCATGACACCAAGCTTCTTAAAGAACTTCCTGCATTGGTACTTCCATGGTTTTCCTTCAATGATGCGCAAGGACCATTTTTGTAGTAGTAATATGAATCGGTCTTTTGTGAGCTCCCCCATATTGTGATGCCGTATAGAATATTGGACTTATAATTCGAATGGAAGTAGATCATGAGGGCCCTTTTATCCATGATCTACTCTAGGTTTCTGATGATAATTATTTGTTTGGCTCAGTCTCTTTCTAATGTAGCCCACATGCATTGCCCAGCTGAGCGCAGCATCAACAGTTAAACCGATACATCTACTGCTGTTAACAGCTTGTATCGTAGTATCGTTGAATCTGAAGCTTTCAAAAAACAAGAAATGTGGTGTAAAATTAACAATGTACGTTTTTAGAAAATTTACTTTAATTTTGTTTGCATAATACCATCTCATAAAAAGCTTAAAGATGCAGTATAATTTTTTCGAGTACATAGGGTGTCCCAAAAGCACTGCCCCTTTTTCCGCAGAGGGCAAAAGAATGCAGATATCAAAATGCGGTTTGTGTGACGTTATAGTCCTAGTAATTAGGTACCTACAAAACAAGACCAAGTTGACCTCTGTAGCTTAAAATTTGACCGAGATACATCATTTTGAAAATGACGTGTCAAGGTGGCGCCTACAGGATTTTCAACATTTTTTACGGACGAACCCCAGGACGAACAGACACGACGCATCT